CATCATGGACACAGGCCTTTACAGGCCCATCGGTTTAGAATGAGATGAGAGAGTATTCGACGAGACAAGAGGAGATTGCATAGAGGAAAGAATAATACAGATATAGTTTTAATAAACGCAGTATGAATATATAGTGAGTACTTGAGTGATGTAAGAAAACGCATGTGAAGCAAGTGTACGCTGAAAGATGCAGATGGAGTAACGAAATTGTCATTCGAGGGACAATGATAATGGCCGGGGCGAAAAACGGAAAGAGACAAGAGGGGAGGGTGAGCGGACAGAGAGAGAGAGGAAGTTTGTTGTAATATCTTACGGGACAGTGTGAAAATTTAGCGTATATACTCGAGAAATTGCTATTAGATTCACGTGCTTGAGCTCGCGCAAGCAATTAATCCCAGCACTTGCGCTTATTGTGAATTTCTTCCAAGAACCGAATTTATCTCTCTTAACGAACGTAGCATACGAACACCGAGCATACTTTCCCTACAACTAGAGGAAAGGGAGGTCCCCTGTTACGAGATAAGCTAATATGAGAGCGGAGTTTCTGCTAAATTAATAGGCATCATCTACTGGTTTCATCGTGAATTTATTGCCCTTGGAGTGAAATCTGTTTAGTGGAAAATTCATTGTTAGATCGTGTAGTCGTTGTGAATGAAGATTTGTGATTAAATGTGGATGTTTTGAAAACCTGCTGTCTCATATTAGAAGCCTATCTCAGAAGACTGTCCTCTATTAAATCACTCGTGTTCGCGCAGAGCCACAGCATCCCTCAATTTAGATTACACGTCGGTGAAATAGTTAATCTCGCGATCTATCGCAAGGATCCGTTCCTTGACTTTCAATACGAATTTCGATCGCTTCGACAAACGGCGACGGATCGGTAGAATCAACGGAGAGAGAACTCCGGTCGTGCTCGCGGTCTTCATTCGGAAAACGAAGGAAAGCGACCAGGGCCAGTTGTCTTCGACAATTAAAGTGACTTTCGATCGGCGCGGACTCGTGCTTAAAGGCCGAATCAGATTAGCAATTACCGACTCGGATTGGATTGGGATTGGCGACTGACGATTGTCCTCTAGCCAATGACTGCGTTCAGCAGAAGTTAGCGCTTGCTAAGCGCTTTGCGCTCATTGGATTATACTTTCAGATCTGTGCTGAAATAGAGAGCTATTCTTCTATCCAATCAGCATAAAGCGCTTACTAAGCGCTGACTTCTGCTGAACACAGCCAATGAGAGTCTATTAAATCGCTAGCCGTTCATTGGCTAAAAGACAATCGCCAATTCCAATCCAATCCGCGTCGACAATTGCTAGTCCGATTCGGCCTTAACGCGAAATAAAGAGAACAGGTGAGGAGGGGGGGAGGGGAGGGGGCTCGGGCTGAATGAAAGGACGAGGTCCCTGCGCGAAAACGGCCGATGAGTATGCGAGTCGCGTGGGCCGTGCGGCGCGGCGTGGCGGTCCATTAAAATAATAAAATCGAGTGACGTGCGTCATTATTGCGCTACGCCGGTGGTCGCGGCGGAGCACGCCCGGCCCAGGCCGGCCCGGCCCGGCAGCGGTCCCCACACACGCGCATCGCGCATCGCATTACGCGGCCGTCATTTCGGTGTCATTAACATACGCACGGCCGGCGTGCTCTGACACGTGCACAACGTGAATCGCATCGCTACGCGCCCCGTACGCGTGTATTAGCACATCGCCGAGGATCCGTCTCTCTCTCTTTCTCCCCTACCTTTTCGTCGTCCATCCCCCGTGCCTTCTCGCTCGGGCGCACACCTATTTCTATTTTCATAACGGGTATGCGCGCTCTCGTACTTAAAGTAATTGCACTTAATGGCCACGCGGCGCGGCCGCATGCCGCGCGACATGCATACGCTCCGGAGGATTTCGAGTGTAGCTGCAGGCGGAGCACGTTGATCGGGTGTTTAAGTCAAGAACCGGCATCGCGTATTCCGCGTATGCATGGGGTGTCCAAAGAGGAGAGTCTCGGCGATGCACACGCGCTGCACTCCCTTCCCCTCTCCCGCCGCTGATTCAACGTAATTAAACCGCCGTGCCGTTGATAGACGATACACGTCGGCACCGTTTTAAGGCCGAATCAGACTAGCAATTGCCGACTCGGACCACGTTTCCACCGAGGGTCAGAGTCGGGCTGGAGTCGGGCCCAGAATCGGGTTAAGGTGAGCGCTTCGGTGGAAACGCCTTTAAACCTGAACCCGCTTTCGACAATTGCTAGTCTGATTCGGCCTTTACATTCGGCCAGAATGGAAATGATAGATTTCTCGGCCGACGGATAAACCACTGACCAAAATTATCTACACCAATGCCTACTAATGCCCGGTGGGCATTACCTTATTTTATTTTGCTTTATTTTGCTTTATCTCTTTAGAGTCTTTATAATGCGCCAGCAAGGCCTAATGCCCAAAAAATGCCTAGTAATGCCTAGTAATATCTAGCAGCGCCCGAAATCTGTACACCACAATACCTTCAGCGGTCTACTCGGTCTCGGCGATACGTCGTAGACTGTTTGCCTGCTTTTTTTTTTGCGATCGAGAGCCCGATATAACGCTAATGAACGGACCTACGTCGAGCGATTTTTCTCCCTTGAACGCGTACCAACGCCGGAAGACGGCCGGAACGTGTCGCGGGCACGAGTAAAAAGCACGAAAAGCGTGCCAGGCTCGGCTCGGCTACATTCTACACGCTTCTTCGTGGAATTACGTAACGCCGCCCAGGTGTGGACTGACCGATTTCAATCACACGTGCGATCGCGGACGATTACGGGGCCTTATTTGGCGTGCCTCTCCCTCCCACGTACCCCGTCGGTTCGCTTCCGCGATACAGCGGCGCCCAATGACGCGCTTTCAATTCAATTAGGACGATTATCCAGACATTAAATTCACCCGATTGCACTTAATCGACAGGTAGAAAAAGTAAAATATTGCGTCCACAACTTCGCTACATCTCTATTGTTTTATCTTTCGCCTATTCAGTTTTTTTTTTAAATAGCATTCTAGTTGGATTCGAGGTGAGATTGATCGAGAATTATGATTTTTTTTAACCGTTCCTCCGGCGTTTTGGTCTTCAAGGAGAGCTTTTCATTTTCGATCGCTGGCGATGCTAGGAGTCACGGGTGCCTGGGTATTTTTGTGAGGGAAAAATCGCGATTGAGATTGGTCGGCGTTCACGGCTCAAAAGGGAAGTGACGTTTCTATGCCCGCGGAGAGGAAAGGAAAGTCTTACTCGAGATTCAGTTAGGATACAGTAATAATTCCGTTGTCGAGATTCTATTCTTCGTGCCGCGTCGCGGTGGACACTCATCTGTTCTGGCATGATATAAAGGACAGTGGACAAGGCAGCTTGTGATCGTCTAAAGCCACGGCCGTGGTATGCCCTTTTATAGGAGCCCTATAAAGTCTCTCGGTGTGGGGTCCACCGACACCCCCGGCTACCCTATAAGAAAGAACGTCACTCGAACCCCCTGTAATAATTCTTTGCCGTAGGAATTCCTGGCGTGACTTGACACGGTTCTGCCCTCGGTCACGCTTGAGAAATTCATAGATGAAAAACAAAATGTTGCGGAAGGGCTTGAGGTGGCGGAGCAGGAAAAGAAACGCGTTTCTATCCAGTCCCTTGCGCTTGGACCGGTTGTCGTTCGTAAAAAGAAATATAATCACGGGGGATTAATTTGATTTTTAATTGTCATTTTCATCGACGTTGATTATTGTCGTCGTCGTCGAAATTGAATTGATCGCGGGAATCGTCGCCGTTTTATATTTCTAGTTTTCACGTGGCGTTTTATCGTTATTTAACAAGTGACTATACCCTTTCGCTCCCAAAATTTTACTCAGGGTAGCTGAGCCATTTTACTAATTTCCCAAACGTTATCGGTTTCTGTAACAGGTACCTGACATAGGGGTCGAACTGACAGGTGGCTGCTATGGATTCGCGGCCAAATACATGCACTGGCCGGAGGAGCTGGTGGTCGGCGGCGCCAAGCACAACAAGACGGGCCACTTGACTCGCGCGGCCGCGCTGCAGACCGTGGTGCAGCTGATGGGCGAACGCGAGCTGTACGATTTCCTGGCGAACACCTACAGGGTCCACCATATCGACTGGACGCAGGAGAAGGCGGTTAAGGTTCTGGAAACCTGGCAGAGGATGTTCAGCAATGAGGTGAAGAAACTGGTGGAGGTCAACGGGTCGGCGCCGTACAATCTGTACGCTTTCAGCACAACCACCATGAATGACATCCTCGGGAAGTACAGCGAGGTGTCCGTCATGAAGATCGCGATCGGTGGCGTACTCATGGTTAGAAATAGCTCCATAATTAACGATTAATTATATACATTTGTTTGGAGTGATACCGAAAGATTGAAGATGCTGACATCATTTTACTTAGTTATCCTATTCATGTGGTTTTGCCGTATTTTTCCAGTTGCTTTATGCCGGCGTAGCCCTCTTTCGTTGGAAGGATCCGGTGCGTTCGCAGTCCGGGGTGGGAATGGCCGGCGTGATGCTGATCTGCGCCACAATAGCCGCAGGACTGGGCTTCTGCGCGCTTCTAGGGATCTCGTTTAATGCCACCACGACACAGATAGTGCCGTTTCTCGCCCTCGGTCTGGCCGTACACGACATGTTCCTGCTGACGCATACGTATGCCGAATTATCGGTAAACGAGGTACCCAGCAGTGAACAAACGGGAGTCGTTCTCAAGCGAACCGGCCTGTCGGTGCTGCTGACAGGCCTCACCAACGTCGCTGCCTTCTTCGCAGCGGCGATAATCCCGATCCCGGCCCTCCGAACGTTCTGCATACAAGCTGGTATTTTGCTGCTGTTCAATTTGGCCGCTATGCTGCTGATATTCCCCGCGATGGTCAGCCTGGATTTACGGCGTAGACGTTCCGGCAGGAAGGACATTCTCTGCTGCTGCTTGCCGGCGCCCAATCTCGGGAAAAATAAATACTCCGTGAAAAGCAACGGTACGGTCAAGCAGACAGTTACCAGGGCGATACCGCCTGAGAGACGGGAGACCTGTACGCAGATCTTAACGCCACAGAATACGCAGAACGAATCCTGGGTATGAAATGACGTACACGTATGCATACATATCGTATATATACTGGATTGCATTTTAAGCTATATTGCGAAATATCATATTTTAATGTTCAATTTATGGGAGGCTGAACAAATTGCTTTTATAAATGGCCGCTTGGTTGCAACAAGAATCGAGAAGGGCTCTCTTTTACTAACAGCAGAGTAAAACGATAGAAAAATAAAATTGCTTTCTTCGTTTTTGCATCAAGTTCAAATTAATGCAGAATCGTATATAAATATCTTATTCATGTTGCAGATAGGTGGAAATATTATCGACGCGGAACTGGATAAACAGTGCACCGAGGAGGACGCGCTAACCGGCTGTTCGCAAGATGATTGTCTGAGCTTTTCTCTGACGCAGCTCGCGTCTCGGCATTACGCACCCTTTATCAATCGACCGGCTACCAAAGTGTTCGGCATGATAATCCTGATTGTCGTGCTGGCTGGCAGCATATGGGAGGCGATACGCCTACGTGACGGCCTAGATTTGACCGACCTGGTGCCGCAGAACTCAAACGAGCACGCGTTTCTGTCGGCCCAGGCGAAACATTTCGGCTTCTACAGCATGTACGCGGTCACCGGCCGAGATTTTGAGTATCCGAATAATCAGCGATTGTTATACGAGTATCACGACGCCTTCATGCGGATCAAGAACGTCATCAAGAACGACAATGGTGGTCTGCCCGAGTTTTGGCTTGGTATGTTCCGCGATTGGCTGAAGGGTCTGCAGACGGCATTCGACAAGGACTACGAAAACGGCTGCATCACCCAGGAAAGATGGTTCTCGAACGCCAGCGACGAGGCAATCCTGGCGTACAAACTGCTCGTGCAGACCGGTTATGTTGACAATCCAATCGACAAAACGCTGATTACTGAGGTGCGACTGGTCGATTCGGAGGGTATCATCAATCCACGCGCCTTCTATAACTACTTGAGTGCATGGGCGTCCAACGACGCGCTAGCTTACGGTGCTTCGCAGGGGAATCTGAGACCCGAGCCACGCCAGTGGATCTACATTAATGATCACGAGCTCAAGATCCCTAAGAGCATGCCGCTTACCTACGCACAAATGCCATTTTACTTGCACAGGCTCACGGATACGCAAGATATCACACAGCTGATCGGTAGTGTCCGGGAATTATGCAAGAAGTTTGAAGAACGCGGTTTGTCGAATTTCCCGTCCGGCATACTGTTCCTTTTTTGGGAACAATATATGAATCTGAGGAGCTCCATGGGCATTGCTCTTCTAGCTGCATGGGGTGTGAGCATCGTGGTGATCGGATTTCTCCTGTTGAATATATGGGCCGCCGTACTGGTCGGCATCTCTCTTCTCAGTGTTATCGCACAACTACTAGGCATCATGAGCCTGCTCGACATCAAACTGAGCGCGGTGCCTGCCGTACTGCTAGTGGTTAGTGTGGGCATAGCTGTTCATTTTACGGTGCACATCTGTCTGGTAAGACATATCTTCTTTATTGGCATATTTTTCATTTAATCTTTTTGTCTATTGTTTCGCTCACATTGGGTTTGTGATGTCAAAAGTGAAAACTTTTTCAAAGTTTAAAAAAGATCGAATCCTTTTGACTTTGTTACAATTGTTATTTCCCGTTGTTATTGATATAGTTCCGTTTTGACTCTAATTGGTTTTTCTATTGAGACTTTTATTTCGCATAAACCATCAACTTGTGATATTTTTTTTCAGAGTTTTGTTACCAGTGTAGGCAGCAGAGACCGCAGGATGCGGTTAGCTCTGAAACACATGTTTGCTCCGGTTATCCATAGTGCACTCACTTCGCTGCTCGCTGTGATCATGCTGGCTTTTTCGGAGTTCAATTTCATAGTCAATTATTTTTTCCTTGTATTACTCTGCGTGATCGCCATCAGCCTTGTGAATGGCGTCTTCTTCTTCCCTATTCTCTTGTCTCTGATCGGCCCGTCGGCGGAAGTAATTCCCAACGATCATCCGGATCGTATATCCACGCCAACACCGCCGGCGTCGCCCGTCGTGAGAAGATCCAAGCTGCCCACACCGCCGAGGAGATCTCACAAAATCGACAATGCCCGGCTGCATGCCGAGCCATCGCTCACGACTATCAGCGAGGAGCCTAACTCGTGGCACAGCACGCAAGAATCCTGTATTATTGTCCAGCCGGAACTCAAGGTGGAGACCACGTCCACATGTGGCAATCAGGTGCGTTGAGATCCGCGATCGATTGTTCATCAGCATGGGATATACTTTCTCCAATAAATTTGTCACGCCTCTCTGAGCATGACTAACGAGCGTGTTCTTTCTTTCTTTTTTTTTTTTACTAACAGAACTGTAGCGGTTCGGATACGAGTGGGTCTAGTCGAACGTCGCCGGTTCCGCCCACGTCGCACATCACCACTAAGGTCACCGCAACGGCGAACATCAAGGTCGAAGTTCACACACCGTTGGCTGGTGAGTACTTATTTTGAACAATTTTCAAAAGTTATTCCAAAATATTTCCCTAATGTTAGTCTCGAGATTTTTAATTAATTCGAAATGCTTGTTTTACTAACGCATGCAACTGTAATAAAATATTGCTGGATGTATTCGCTTGCGAATTATCTCACTGTTTTTTTTTAAAGATTGTAAATATCCATAATTTCCTTAATGAAATTTCTGTTCCTTTGAAAATGATATCGCTAAAATCTGTGCACATTACAAGACTCAGACAGAAATAAAAATAGCCGATGTGTATCTTTTTAATTTTTTGTGCTATTTTTATACTATGTCTTTACATATTTAGCTACCATTTAGTTGTTATAATATTTCCTGAAATCAATACGAGGGAATGGTAAAAAATATGTTCACTTTCATGAAAATTATAGGTGGAATGGATCGTGAAAAATGCCGGCACTCGGGCAGCAGTAGTCGAAGGAGCTCGCGCTGCAGTGCGAACATTAATGCTGGGGAGTCTTCCGGTTCCAGTTCTGAGCCAGATTCAGACTCTAACGCAAAACATTAATAACAAGTACCGGGGGGACCGGCAGCTACTGCTCAAGTACCACGCAAAGCGGGGAAACACAGAAGGCTGACTAGGATAGATTAATAGATTTTCCATTATACCTCTTCCTGTTTTTTCTTCCTCTTTCCTCTCCCCCTCCCTTATCCTTAGCACCCTATTCTTCTGTTCTACTCTTTGTCTCAAGCGAATAATGTAACATGAGTTGTCCTTACTCGGATTTTTAAAAACGAAACATAACATAAATTGCATTTTTATATATGTATGTACGTGAATATTTTCGGAAATAATTTTGTTGCGTTTTTTATCTTGTGTTTTGTGCATCGAATTTTTTAAGTCTTAAATAGACTTTCTTTGTGAGAACCAACATTGTATTTACTTAATTGAAATTTAATATTAGGAGCGGACTATGTTTACATTTTTGACAAATATTAATGCGTGAATTATTAAAAGATTTTAAGTTATAAATTGTTAAAGTTTTTAATCAAAAGAAAATATTAACCGAAATGATATACAGGGTAGCTCATTTTAATCAATCCACTCAAATATCTCAAAACGTTTAAGTTCCAGAAGAAAACTTTTGTCTGAAAAGTTTTTTTCTGGAACTTATACGTTTTGAGATATTTGAGTGGATTGATTAAAATGAGCTACCCTGTATATATATAAAAAACCGGATGTTATCTGGATATTTTAACACTGTAATAGTATTCGTCGAACGTGTAATAGTATTACCAAGGACAATAATATGTACAATTTTATATAAAGCAATATATTAGATTATTTTAGATAAATACTATCTAAAATATATATTTTAGATAAATTTATTTAATTAGTGACTACGGCGTCACAAGAGTAGTTTGTGTCGTGTACTATTTGCAAGCACATAAGGACATTGTATGATTTGTACTCTTTCAAGAGAGAAGGAAGGCAATACTTGCCAGTGTGCCTTTGTTTAATAGAGACTGACACTAATGCATTTGTGTCGGTGTGCATACTCGTAATGTTTGTAATACATAACGGAAAAAAGCATTTACTAAGATGTATATATACATACTCGTTATTTAATTTAAAAAAAACTAAAGATTTTACTATCACTAGAATGCGATTTTAAATGTAATTGTGAAATTTTGCGAAGATGACGCTTTATTGTGTGACAAAATTTGCAGATATTACTATTTATTTTATTTTCTACATTAATCATGTAGATTAATGTAGAAGTGTAACAATGTAACATGCAGTGTGTATGTATGTGATTAGGAGCGATTACGATACTGAATCTCTGAGATCTATTTATTATTTATTTTAATAGTATTCCTCGGCGTTTCTGCGGGTATGTGTGCGCGAGCACATATTTTGTACGCGCAAACATATGATGATTCTTGTAAAAATAATTATTTATCTCGGACTATACCAGAATATTTTTATCGCCTATGACAATAACGGTACTTAATTTAAAGAAATATATATTCCTATTTTGATATTCATACCTCTAATGTGTACAAAGTTGTAATATATAGTACCAGTGACTAATATAATGCGGCATAACTGCAGCACGCATTGTCGTGAGATGTGACTCGTGAAATGATGTACAATATAAGCGAGAAGTATTCCTTATGCCAAGTCAATTTTGTATACATATGCGAGACTCGAGGTGTATATTTAAAGTGTATGAAAATCAGTCTGCGAGACGACTTTTGCATTTTGTATAAAGAACATGTTGTATAAGTTTGGATGGGAAAAATAGTCAATATACCTCTAATATACGTATAAATTGTGTCCATGACTCTCATTTTTCGCAAACTTCATTGTAAGAATTTTTAATTTTCGATGTAACGAATGTGTAGAAGCTACTACTTGTACGTTTTATAATCCCATTTGTGTAAATATAAATAACATTGTAATAAAAACATTTTTACCTTTACATAATCGTAAATAAGATTAGTACTCAAATTAATATATTATGCAAAGTTATAATTGCAGAAATCAAATTGCAAACGTAATGGGAAAAATTATTCGATGCATCTGGCAATACTTTATTAAAAGAATTACACAACGTTTCGACCTAGAATTCCGGTCCTTTTCAAGTGAAAAATGTCTTGATTACTAGCTATATTGCCTAAAAGGTCAAACAAACACAATCCCGCTATTAACAATAAGGACAATAATGGAAGCCAAGACCTACATAGGAGAAAGAAAATGGATTATAGAGGAATAGAAAGGAACGTCATCGATAACTTTGAAGGAGTACCTTATCCCGTGTTTGAGAATAAATCTTTGATTTCACAGGCACATACTTTGAAAGGAGAAATAAATCATAAAAAGAAACAGCTCTCATAATACTAAATCACATCATAAAATATTATCGCATTTCTCTTTTGTGAATTTTTATTATGTTATATTTTCGCATCTTTTAAGGTAGTGTTTTAAATGTTATACCAGAAAAACATTATCGAGTTATGTCCCCCTGTCCCTGCCTACCCGAATCCCTCCCTACCTATCCGTACTCCGCTATATAGTCTTATCCATTTTCCTACCTACCCGCGTTTCAACATTTTGTTAATAAACCTACAAGTCCGTCGTTAAAACCGCGGTGCGATTTATAAGAAGTCCGATTTGGGATTGTACGCGCGCGATTTAATAGGGGTCTTTTTCATCTTGCACATATGCAAGAATATGTAAAGAAGATAAAAATATAACCCACCCGAATTTTGGCATGTAAGAAGAAATCAACTTATTTCGTACAACACATATCATCAAAGTGGTCAATATTGACCACTTACTTCGTCGTATTCCTTTGTTGGGCCAGATTGGACCTACCATTCGTTGCTCCCGGCCATACAGTCTGGTCATTTTGACCAGAGATCAGGAAGGAAGAAATTCTCTCCTCCCATAGTCGGTTTATTATAGTTACCGACAAATATTTCGTACGGCTCGAACTATATGCGAGCGTCGATCGTATCGAAATGCACGACCACGAGAAGTTAATTAAAGAAGAAAATGAAGTTAAAAAATTTGCTGTATAAAACTTATCAAATATATTTTTACTTCCGTTATTTATTCGAGAATAGATAATGACTGTCTCTTCGTGACTCAATCTTAAAATTCAAATTTCAAGTATATGTATATAGAAAAAACAATTTATTTCGCGTTATATTTATTTTAATTACCTTCCGCGGTAAATTAAAAATTTTAATATCGATGAAATTAAACAATTAATAATTTTTTGAAAACTTTTT